TATTTCATACCTACGTTACTTTATCGAAAGAACCAAAGAGTATGGAATTGATATCTTGAAAGCATTTAGTGCGGGGCCCTTGAAAGTGCGGGTCCCGTAGCTGCACGTGTAGTAGTGTAGTAGCTACTACACGTGTAGTAGCTACTACACGTGCAGCTACTACACGTGCAGCTACTACACGTGTAGTAGCTACTACACGTGCAGCTACTACACATGCAGCTACTATACATGCAGCTACTACACATGCAGCTACTATACATGCAGCTACTACACGTGCAGCTACTACACGTGCAGCTACTACACACCTATGACCGCTATGGAATTATAAACATGCGAATGGTTTTTTTTTAAGAATATTGGACGTCAAACATCGACGCAGCAACGTGTACCTGTCGTGGGCACGTGACCTGGCCCATTGTTGTGACCTCGTGTTTTTACCCTCACCTATGAACGTGGTGGATCCATACCATCACCCACACCCACCCACACACACCCACCCACCCAACCACACACCCACACCCACCCACACACCCACCCACTCACACACACACACACCCACACACCCACTCACACACCCACCCACCCACCTACACCCACCCACCCACACCCACACACCCACCCACACACCCACACACACCCACCCACCCACACACACCCACCCACCCACACACCCACCCACACACCCACACACCCACTCACACACCCACCTACATACCCACCCACCGACCCACCCACACACGCAGCTCACGCCTGCGTTTCGAGGCAGACCGCGTGCAACGAGCTCACCGCTTATCACGTCTGGTGCCGCTTGCGCCTCCGATTAGCGCGGTTTGGCTACGAGAAGCGCGACCCGAGGTGCCACGTGGACACAGACGCCAACGAAATCGGCGGTTCCCATTTCAAAACGAACTCTTGGATTTTTCAAGCTCGAGCCGGACGCCCAATTGCCCGCGACACTTGGTGGGGGCGCGAGTTGAAGGGATGACGGCGTTGGTGGTGCGGGCAAGGTGGCTGGTGGTGATGTGGGTGGTGGTGGTGACGGTGGTGACGGAGCCGCACGGATCGCTCGGCTTCCCCACGGGCGCTCCCGAGGATGTGTGCGAGGACATGGTCCCGCAGCACGACGGCTCGAACGCGTTGGCGGGCAGCCCCTACTCGCTCTACACCAGCCACGAAGCCTTCTCATACGGCTCCAGGATTCAGGGTGGGTCGCCTGGCTCGGCGCGGTCCGTGCGTTCGTGTGTGTGTGTGTTCGTGTGTGTGTGTGTTCGTGTGTGTGGGTGTGTTCGTGTGTGTGTGTGTCTGCGTGTGTGTGTGCGCGCGTGTGTGCGCGTGTGCATGCGTGTATGTTTACGTATGTGTGTGCGCACGTCCGTGTGTTCTTGTGTGTGTCTGCGTGTGTGCACGTGTGCATGCGTGCGTGTGTGTACGTATGTGTGTGTCTGCGTGTGTGTGTTCGTGTGTGTAGTGGGGAGCGGTAGTGTAGCGGTTAGCGCGCTGCGCTATGAACCTGGCGACCCGAGTTCGATTCCCGCTCACGGCCAACACCAGTGACGATTATCTGAACCGGTCCTGGGCCTCCCCTAGGTCGACTCAGCCTTAAATGAGTACCTGGTGCGGTGTGTAAACATCGCCACTGGGGAGACAAAGGCGGTCGGGCGTGGTGCTGGCCACCCACCTCCTCGTGTACCGTTCCGGCCTTCATAGGTGCTCGCTAACAGCAGTTGCCCCTACAGTCTGTAGACTATACGGGGGATCTTTTGTTCGTGTGTGTGTCTAAGTGTGTGTGTTCGTGTATGTGCGCGCGTGTGTGTGTTCGTGCGCGTGTGTCTGCCTGTGCGTGCGTGTGTGTGTTTGCCCGTGTGTGTGTGCGTGTGTACATATGGAAGCTACCTGGTCTGTCGCTCCACACGAAGCTTCGGGTCTTCTCGGCCACGGTCATGCCCTCCCTTCTCTATGCTTACGAAACGTGGACCCCTCCCCAACGGAACGTCTGTTATAAACATTTAGGCTGGCCTGCCTACGCTCCATCCTGGGTTTAACCAGGCTGGATTGTGTAAGGAGCTCACAAATCCAGAAGAGATCTGGACAAAGTACCATCGGTGAGCTCCTCCGGCAGGCAAGGCTGCGTTGGCTGGGTCATGTAACCCACATGTCCAGCCACCGCATGCCTTAACAGCTTTTGTTCGGCCGGATCGAGGGGACTAAACGGGCGCGGCACGGGCTAGAGAAGAGATGGAGTGATGTGGTACAGGAGGACGTGGAGCTGAGTGGACTTGCTGATGACTGGTACCAGCGGTGTCAAGATCGGCCTCTGTGGAGGAGGAGGCTCGTGAACGACGCCGCTACTGGGCAGTTGATATCTCGGCACCGCGCCGCCCCAAAGTGGATCGTCATTCACCGTGATCGCGCTATGTTGAATTCTATCCAGTACAAATACAGACACGTAGGAATTGGATGCTCCACTCTAAATATCATGAATGCATGTTGACGATATATTCAATTGGATGCTCCGCTCTAGATGTGACGGCATGTTGATGATCTATCCAATTTGGATGCTCCACTCTCGAAATCATGACGGCATGCTGACCAACGTACGGAACATACCCAATTAATCTTCTTGGTTCTTTCGTAGAAGGGGAATAATACAATTATACAAATAAAACATAATAAAATACAATTCTCACGACGTTTCGGCCACGACGCTGTCTTTCCGACAGCCCTGTTCTTCGTCTGAATGACGCTGTAGTTCCGACAGACCTGTTCTTCACCTGAGGACGGTTGCTTGTGTTGTGGCCGAAACGTCGTGAGAATTGTATTTTATTATGTTTTATTTTTAAATCCTTTATATTAAGTTCACTTGCTTGCTTGCTTACGACCGTGAAAATATTTCGGTCGTTTTTTAACCCACTTCCCGTGATCCAATCGAGCTGACATTTTGCACACAGACTCGTTGTGCATGACAATTTATTTTCGTGAAATTTTTTTTCCAAAATTTACACTTTTTAGGATTTTTTAAAAATATTTAATTACCAATTGCTTAATGGTGGCAGGCATTCATCTGACCCATAGGTGGCAGCCATCTCAGGCCAGAGGACGAGAGGACTCTAGCCGCCACGCATATAAAGGATTTATAGTGAAAAACTTTGTTTTTACGGGTTAATTTATTATTATTGTATTATTTCCCTTCTACGTGACTTTACCGAAAGCTTTAAATCGAAAAATACCCAATTAAGTGAGAGGCTTCATACCGTTGAGAAAAGTAAGTGGCTTGTCACCGCACCGCGCGCTTTTAGATGCGCTTCAGCGGCCGTCTGGAACGCTCTTCCCGAAACCAGGAAACCGCCCCGGAGCTTTGCGCCTTTAAATCGCGACGTGAAAACTCCCCGTCCTCGGCACCGCCTGCGGGTGGTCGGGTTTGTCGGCCTTCCCACCGCGTGCGCGCTCCTCCGATCAGCGCGGTTCGCTCCGCGCGACCGCGGCAAGCGCCCTCGCTCGATGGCTCAGCCCCAAGGCCGCCGCGTGACGTCGTCGTCGTCCTTGATGACAATGACGACGATGATGATGATGACGATGATGATGATGACGATGATGATGATGATGACGATGATGATGACGATGATGACGATGATGATGATGACGACGACGATGATGACGATGATGATGATGACGATGATGATGATGATGATGACGATGATGATGATGATGACGATGATGATGATGACGATGATGATGATGACGACGACGATGATGACGATGATGATGATGACGATGATGATGATGATGATGACGATGATGATGATGATGATGACGATGATGATGACGATGACGATGATGACGATGATGACGACGATGATGACGACGACGATGATGATGACAATGACGACAACGATGTCGATGACGATGATGACGATGATGACGACGACGATGATGATGACAACGATGACGACAACGATGACAACGACGATGACGACAACAACGACGACGATGACGACAACAACGATGATGACGACGATGACAACAACGATGACGACGACGATGACGATGACGACGACGATGACGACAACGATGACAACGACGATGACGACAACAATGACGACGACGATGACGATGATGACAACAACAACGACGATGACGACGATGACAACGACGATGACGACAACAACGACGACGATGACGATGCTTGTGCGTTGCAGTCAGAATCGTGGGCACGTACGAGGGCTTCCTGCTGCAGGCGCGGCTCACCAACAGCACGAGGGTGGTGGGCAGCTGGGACAGCCCCCCCCGCGGGACTCAACACCTGCTGGTAGGCGCTGCCCGGCCACGCGCTGCGTCTTGAACACGGGTAACGTCGTGTTAACGTTGTTAACCGGGTAACGGGCCGTCCGTCAATGACGTCACGCACCTGGGGCGGGTCAGACATTTGTGACGATGTGTGACGAGGGGGGCGGGGGTTGAGAAATGTGACGTCACATCAAAATGCACAACTTTAAATAAATATGGTGGGGAGGTGAGGGATGGTGGGAGGTGAGGGATGGTGATTGATGAGGAATGCTGGGGAGGTGAGGAACGTGGGGAGAGGTGAGAGACGTGAAATAGGCCATACAACAGGAACGCTGCAATTCGCGCTCGACTCAGCAAGCGATTGAGAGTTTCTCAAGGGACAGAGGCGAGTGGGGATCCGACAAAGAGGTCTGAGCCGCCGTCTCTGTCGTGCCGCGCAGTGCACCACGCTGAAGGGCGCGGTGACCCACTCGAGCAAGGTGGACAAGCACGACCAGAACTTCACGTGGATCGCCCCCGAGGCCAGCCCGGCGGGCTCCATACAGTTTGTGTGGGGGCCTCGCTCGCACATGCAGCCACAGATGGGCCCCGTCTGAATCGCAATGCGCCCACTCGCCCACCAGACTCGCTCACCGACTCGCTCAGCGTCCCACTCACCCACTCGCTCACCCACTCGCTCACCGTCCCACTCACCCGCTCGCCCACCGACTCGCTCACCGTGCCACTCACCCACTCGCTCACCCACTCGCTCACTGTCACACTCACCCGCTCGCCCACCGACTCGCTCACCGTTCCACTCACCCACTCACCCACCGACTCGATCACCGTTCCACTCACCCAGTCGCCCACCGACTCGCTCACCGTTCCACTCACCCACTCGCCCACCGACTCGCTCACCGTTTCACTCACCCACTCGCCCACCGAATCACTCAATGTCACACTCACCCACTCACCCACCGACTCGCTCACCGTTCCACTCACCCACCGACTCCCTCACTGTCACACTCACCCACTCGCCCACCGACTCGCTCACCGTTCCACTCACCCGCTCGCCCGCCAAACTCGCTCACCATTCCACTCACCCACTGACTTGTTTACCGTCGCATTCACTCACTCACCCACCGACTCACTCAACATCCCACTCACTCACTCACCCAGTCACTCAATCACCCACTCATCTACAAAGATCATCGACTCAATTACTCCCCACTCATCATAGACTTACACATAGACCAATAGACTCACACAGAGACCTATAGTCTCACATAGAGACAAATAGATTCACACAGAGAGCCATATACTTACACAGTGAACTTTTGACCGACACAGTGACTCATAGAATAATACACAGACCAATATTCTCGCACAGAGACCCATAGGCGCACAAAGTGACCCACAGACTCACACGGAGACCCACAGACTCACACGGAGACCCACAGACTCACACAGAAACCCACAGACTCACACAGAGACCTATAGACTCACACAGAGACCCATAGACTCACACGAAGACCCACAGACTCACACAGAGACCCACAGACTCACACGGAGACCCACAGACTCACACAGAGACCCACAGACTCCTCACACAGAGACCCACAGACTTACACAGAGACCCATAAACTCACACCGAGACCCATATACTCATCACACAGAGACCCATAGACTCCTCACACAGAGACCCACAGACTCACATGGAGACCCACAGACTCCTCACACAGAGACCCATACACTCACACGTAGACCCACAGACTCACACAGATACCCATACACTCACACAGAGACCTATAGACTCACACAGAGACCCATATACTCACACAGAGACCCACAGACTCACACAGAGACCCATAGACTCACACAGAGACCCATAGACTCACACGAAGACCCACAGACTCACACGGAGACCCACAGACTCACACAGAGACCCATACACTCACACAGAGACCCATAGACTCACACAGAGACCCACAGACTCCTCACACAGAGACCCACAGACTCACACAGAGACCCACAGACTCACACGGAGACCCACAGACTCAAACAGAGACCCATAGACTCACACAGAGACCCACAGACTCCTCACACAGATACCCATACACTCACACAGAGACCCATAGTCTCACACAGAGACCCACAGACTCCTCACACAGAGACCCATACACTCACACAGAGACCCATACACTCACACAGAGACCCACAGACCCCTCACACAGAGACCCATGGACATCTGTGTCTACAGGGCGACCGTGATCAAGGAGAAACTGGAGTGGCAGATGAACGTGACGTCATCCATCATCACAACTACAGGTCTGTGCATGTGAATATCGTGCATTGCCTCATCCATCTGACTGTCTGTCTGTAGCGGGGGATGGTGGGTGGTAGTTATGATAATTGCAGAAGTGGATGGGATTGGCTGAGTGTGTGTGACTATGTAGAAGTGAGTGGGGGTAGTGGCTGAGTGTGTGTGACTATGTAGAAGTGGGTGGGGGTAGTGGCTGAGTGGGTGTGACTATGCAGAAGTGGGGGTAGTGGCTGAGTGGGTGTGACTATGTAGAAGTGGGTGGGGGTAGTGGCTGAGTGGGTGTGACTATGTAGAAGTGGGTGGTGCTAGTGGCTGAGTGGGTGTGACTGTGTAGAAGTGAGTGGTGCTAGTGGCTGAGTGGGTGTGACTATGTAGAAGTGGGTGGTGCTAGTGACTGAGTGGGTGTGACTATGTAGAAGCGAGTGGTGCTAGTGGCTGAGTGAGTGTGACTATGTAGAAGTAGGTGGGGGTAGTGGCTGAGTGGGTGTGACTATGTAGAAGTGGGTGGGGGTAGTGGCTGAGTGGGTGTGACTATGTAGAAGTGGGTGGGGGTAGTGGCTGAGTGAGTGTGACTATGTAGAAGTGGGTGGGGGTAGTGGCTGAGTGGGTGTGGCTATGTAGAAGTGGGTGGGGGTAGTGGCTGAGTGGGTGTGACTATGTAGAAGTGGGTGGGGGTAGTGGCTGAGTGGGTGTGGCTATGTAGAAGTGGGTGGGGGTAGTGGCTGAGTGGGTGTGACTATGTAGAAGTGGGTGGGGGTAGTGGCTGGGTGGGTGTGACTATGTAGAAGTGGGTGGGGGTAGTGGCTGAGTGAGTGTGACTATGTAGAAGTGGGTGGGGGTAGTGGCTGAGTGGGTGTGACTATGTAGAAGTGGGTGGGGGTAGTGGCTGGGTGGGTGTGACTATGTAGAAGTGGGTGGGGGTAGTGGCTGAGTGAGTGTGACTATGTAGAAGTGGGTGGGGGTAGTGGCTGAGTGGGTGTGACTATGTAGAAGTGGGTGGGGGTAGTGGCTGAGTGAGTGTGACTATGTAGAAGTGGGTGGGGGTAGTGGCTGAGTGGGTGTGGCTATGTAGAAGTGGGTGGGGGTAGTGGCTGAGTGGGTGTGACTATGTAGAAGTGGGTGGGGGTAGTGGCTGGGTGGGTGTGACTATGTAGAAGTGGGTGGTGCTAGTGGCTGAGTGAGTGTGACTATGTAGAAGTGGGTGGTGCTAGTGGCTGAGTGGGTGTGACTATGTAGAAGTGAGTGGTGCTAGTGGCTGGGTGGGTGTGGCTATGTAGAAGTGGGTGGGGGTAGTGGCTGAGTGGGTGTGGCTATGTAGAAGTGGGTGGTGCTAGTGGCTGAGTGGGTGTGACTGTGTAGAAGTGAGTGGGGGTAGTGGCTGAGTGTGTGTGACTATGTAGAAGTGGGTGGGGGTAGTGACTGAGTGGGTGTGGCTATGTAGAAGTGGGTGGGGGTAGTGGCTGAGTGAGTGTGACTATGTAGAAGTGGGTGGGGGTAGTGGCTGAGTGGGTGTGACTATGTAGAAGTGGGTGGGGGTAGTGGCTGAGTGAGTGTGACTGTGTAGAAGTGGGTGGGGGTAGTGGCTGAGTGGGTGTGACTATGTAGAAGTGGGTGGGGGTAGTGGCTGAGTGAGTGTGACTATGTAGAAGTGGGTGGGGGTAGTGGCTGAGTGGGTGTGACTATGTAGAAGTGGGTGGGGGTAGTGGCTGAGTGGGTGTGACTGTGTAGAAGTGGGTGGAGGTAGTGGCTGAGTGGGTGTGACTATGTAGAAATGGGTGGGGGTAGTGGCTGAGTGTGTGTGACTATGTAGAAGTGGGTGGGGGTAGTGGCTGAGTGGGTGTGACTATGTAGAAGTGGGTGGGGGTAGTGGCTGAGTGGGTGTGGCTATGTAGAAGTGGGTGGTGCTAGTGACTGAGTGGGTGTGACTATGTAGAAGTGAGTGGGGGTAGTGGCTGAGTGGGTGTGACTATGTAGAAGTGGGTGGGGGTAGTGGCTGAGTGAGTGTGACTGTGTAGAAGTGGGTGGGGGTAGTGGCTGAGTGGGTGTGACTATGTAGAAGTGGGTGGGGGTAGTGGCTGAGTGGGTGTGACTATGTAGAAGTGAGTGGGGGTAGTGGCTGAGTGGGTGTGACTATGTAGAAGTGAGTGGGGGTAGTGGCTGAGTGGGTGTGACTATGTAGAAGTGAGTGGGGGTAGTGGCTGAGTGAGTGTGACTGTGTAGAAGTGGGTGGGGGTAGTGGCTGAGTGAGTGTGACTATGTAGAAGTGGGTGGGGGTAGTGGCTGAGTGGGTGTGACTATGTAGAAGTGAGTGGGGGTAGTGGCTGAGTGGGTGTGACTATGTAGAAGTGAGTGGGGGTAGTGACTGAGTGGGTGTGACTATGTAGAAGTGAGTGGGGGTAGTGGCTGAGTGAGTGTGACTGTGTAGAAGTGGGTGGGGGTAGTGGCTGAGTGGGTGTGACTGTGTAGAAGTGGGTGGGGGTAGTGGCTGAGTGGGTGTGACTATGCAGAAGTGGGTGGGGGTAGTGGCTGAGTGAGTGTGACTATGTAGAAGTGGGTGGGGGGTAGTGACTGAGTGGGTGTGACTGTGTAGAAGTGGGTGGGGGTAGTGACTGAGTGGGTGTGACTATGCAGAAGTGGGTGGGGGTAGTGGCTGAGTGGGTGTGACTATGTAGAAGTGGGTGGGGGGTAGTGACTGAGTGGGTGTGACTGTGTAGAAGTGGGTGGGGGGTAGTGACTGAGTGGGTGTGACTATGTAGAAGTGGGTGGGGGTAGTGGCTGAGTGTGTGTGACTATGTAGAAGTGGGTGGGGGTAGTGGCTGAGTGTGTGTGACTATGTAGAAGTGGGTGGGGGTAGTGGCTGAGTGGGTGTGACTATGTAGAAGTGGGTGGGGGTAGTGGCTGAGTGAGTGTGACTATGTAGAAGTGGGTGGGGGTAGTGGCTGAGTGAGTGTGACTATGTAGAAGTGGGTGGGGGTAGTGGCTGAGTGAGTGTGACTGTGTAGAAGTGGGTGGGGGTAGTGGCTGAGTGAGTGTGACTATGTAGAAGTGGGTGGGGGTAGTGGCTGAGTGTGTGTGACTATGTAGAAGTGGGTGGGGGTAGTGGCTGAGTGGGTGTGACTATGTAGAAGTGGGTGGGGGTAGTGGCTGAGTGAGTGTGACTATGTAGAAGTAGGTGGGGGTAGTGACTGAGTGGGTGTGACTATGTAGAAGTGGGTGGGGGTAGTGGCTGAGTGAGTGTGACTATGTAGAAGTGGGTGGGGGTAGTGGCTGAGTGAGTGTGACTATGTAGAAGTGGGTGGGGGTAGTGGCTGAGTAAGTGTGGCTATGTAGAAGTGATCGGGGCTGACGATATTCAGGGTGGAGAGCCTTGAATCAATCTCGTCCGTTCCTGACCAAAGTTCCTTTGCGTGTGCGCATCTGTAGGGTACGTAGCACCTACCAAGGCGCCAGCTATAACCACCACCACCACCAAGAAAACCACCACCGAGAAGCCTGGCAACTCAGCTGACTGCCTGGCTGCTCCCGTGTTGTGGCTGACTCTGGGTGCTTTGCTCACAGCCGCCAGAGTTGCGTGCGGCGTCTAATCCGGGAGATGCGGTCAGAGAGTGCGAGAGACAGAGAGATAGAGAGAGAGTCCCAGGATGGAAGCTGTCACACACTCTCATTGGTGAAACCACACACGCCACAATACAAGACGATACTCACCGCACCACGCCGCAAACAATCGTCAAGCACACATCGCAATGCAGCCAGACGCTGTCTTCCCGACAGACCTGTTCTTCACCTGAGGAAGGCTGCTTGCGTTGTGGCCGAAACGTCGTGAGAATTATTTTATTATGTTTTATTTGTATTATTATTATTTTTTATTTCCTTTCTACGTGACTTTACCGAAAGAACCAAGAAGATGAATCCCTGCAGTCACGAAAGCTTTAAATCGAAATTTAATGCAGCCAAAATTAAACATCAGCTGCTCAACGCCAACTCACTCACCCACCACCTGTGTGTCTCCGCACGAATCTCGTTTTGGTTTCTAAATGGCTCTGTGGGTTATCGCCTGCTGGGTGGTGGTGGCCGTGGTGCTGTGCCCGTAGATTCTCTGTGTCGTTCGTCTGCATCGCGTCCCCATCTTCTGCACGGGTCGCCTCTAACGCACCCCAACACGCGCAACACACGTGTGTGTGTGTGTGTGCGTGTGTGTGCCCAACCCACAGTGGGGAGCGGTGGTGCAGCGGTTAGCTCTACGCTGCGCTATGAACCCAGCGACACGGGTTCGATTCCCGCTCACGGCCAACACCCAGTGACGATTATTTGAAACCGGTCCTGGGCCTCCCCTAGGTCGACTCGGCCTCAAATGAGTACCTGGTGCGGTGTGTAAACATCGCCACTGGGGAGACAAAGGCGGTCGGGCGTGGTGCTGGCCACCCACCCCCTCGTGTACCGTTGCGGCCTTCATAGGTGCTCGCTAACAGCACTTGCCCCAACAGTCCGTTTAGGCTACACGGGGATCTTTGTCTTTGTGCAGGTGACCCGCACCCACGGTGGGGTGGGGGGGGGTCTCGACAATTCACAGCATCGCCAAGTTCGTTGCGGAAAGGGGCCGTCCATAAATGACGTCACGTACCTACGGGGGGGAGGGGGGTCAGACATTTGTGACGATGTGTGACGAGGGGAGGGGAGGGTTGAGAAATGTGACGTCACGTCAAAATGCGCAACTTTAAATAAATATTGAATTGTTATAACAGCACTCCTACAACATCAGAGTGCAGCGCCACATTAAATACGCACTACGATGACAATAGTTTAAAGCGATTTGAAGCATGTTTTATTTTCAAAATGGAAATATGGTTTAAAAAATAACATAAAATAATTCTTCTTATTTTTGTGACGTCATATTTGAGGGGGGGTTCTGACTTTTTGTGACGCCGTGTGACGAGGGGGGGGGTAAAAAATCGTCCAAAATCGCGTGACGTCATTTATTGACGGCCCCAAAGATAAAAAAATAATAATAAAAATAAAATATAAAATAATTATTTTTATTTTTGTTATTTTTGTATACAAAAATAAAAATAATTATTTTATTATGTTTTATTTTTATTATTTTATTATTTCCCTTCTACGTGACTTTACCGAAAGAACCAAGAAGATGAATCCCTGCAGTCACGAAAGCTTTAAATCGAAATAAAAAAAAACCTTTTCGCGTTATAGGCGACCGTCATGTCACGCGGTTCCAAGCTCGGTTTTTCGTCGTCGTCTTGCGTTTGCTGCTGCTGTGTGGAGTTTTTGTTTGAGTCATTGCATGTTGTAACCAGTGTGGCTGTGATACTAATACTACATGGTGCAAAACATTCAGCGTCGGATTATGCTCATAGCACAAGTAGCTACACATGCTACGGGCGCCGTACTTTTTAAGGGCCACGCGCTAAATGCGTTCAAGCTATCAATCCCGTTTCAGTGATTCTGCACTTGCTCTATTACTACAGTACTATACCGCCTTTAACTTTTACGAACGAGCGGGCCTTTAAGGTTCGCGATTGTCGTTTTATCTGGGCTGTATAGCAAATTGAAAAATACAATTACCTTACTATGCAAGTTGAAAATTTGTGTTTTCATATTTGTTTTAATTTAGGACCCCTTTATAACAACATATGCTACAGGCCCCGCACTTAGCTTCATCCGGTACTGCTTATATTCGATATTCGCACGACCAAATCAATTGGTGGGCGTTCAACCCTTGCGAACGCTGCCAGGTCACAGTTAGCTGAGGTACGCTAGGCCACGTGCTTCGTCAAATGCAGGTGAGGCAGGCACCTGATTCAATTGCCAGAGGCACGCGGCCACTGGATGAGATGTATTTCCTACGGATATGGGGGTTGTGGGCATTCGTGACGCCAGCATGTCGATATTACAGGTGATGAGCACGTGGGTCAACTCGGGCCATGGGTCTCTGTGAGTATATGGGTCTTTGTGTGCATCTGTGGGTCTGTAAGTTTGTGGGTCTGTGTTGAATTTATAAATGAGTCCCAACACCTATGTGTCTCTTTCGTTAGTCTATGGGATTCTGTGGGAGTTTAAAGGTCCCTGTGTTAGTATATGGGTCTGTGTGAGTCTGTTGGTCTCTGCGTGAGTTTTTGGGTCCTCGTGTAAATCTATGGGTCTCACATAGATACTCAGAGACCCATCCACTTACATATACATCCATAGACTTACACAAAGACCCATAGACTCGCGTAGAAACCCAGACTTGCACAGACACTCCGAGACTCACACCCAGAAACTCACTCGCACAAACCCACATACTTACACAGAGACCCACAGACTCACACGTACACACACAAAGGCTCACTCACATAAACCTAGACTCGCACAGAGACCCAGACTCACACAAATACACCCATAGACTCATTCACTCACACAAACCTATACTCAAATAGAGACCCACAGACTCACACATACACACACAGAATCTCACTCACGCAAACCAACAGACTCACACAGAAACACACGTACAAAGGCTCACTCATAAAAACCTACCGACTCGCACAGAGACCCACAGACTCACACGTACACACCCAGCATCTCACTCACACAAACCAACAGACTCACACAGAAACACACCCACAAAGGCTCACTCATAAAAACCTACCGACTCGCACAGAGACCCATAGACTCAAATAGAGACCCACACATTCGCACAGAGACCCACCGGCTCTCCTAATTTTGGGGTCAAGGTCGCCATCTCCTGGCGTGCCAGAGTATGGGGAGTTCAGTATTCTCGCGATATTCGTGAGGGATTCGTTCTGGAGATGCTCGTAATTTGCACATTTTGCAGATAATGATGTTGGCCTCACGAATATCGTATGCGCAGCGTCTGCATGTGCTTCTGAAGCTTGCAGGAGTTTTCTTTCTCTCTCTCTCATCTCTTTATCTCATCACTTTATTTATCATCACGTTCTCTCTCTCTCTCGCGACGCAGTCGTGCAGAGTTCCAGACGCGATTCACAGACAGACAAAATTTGCGGATGGCAAGTTTCGCGAATAACAAGAGGCTCCCGTGCAGCTGACTGGGTTAACCTGCGGACACTGCAGTGTCCTCCGACATCATGAATGAGTCTTCTTGGTTCTTTCGGTAAAGTCACGTAGAAGGGAAGTAATCAAATAATAAAAATAAAACATAATAAAATAATTCTCACGACGTTTCGGCCACAACGCAAGCAACCGTCCTCTTCACCTGAGGACGGCTGCTTGCGTTGTGGCCGAAACGTCGTGAGAATTGTATTATTTTATTATGTTTTATTTTTATTATTTGATTACTTCCCTTCTACGTGACTTTACCGAGAGAACCAAAAAGATGAATCCCTGCAGTCACGAAAGCTTTAAATCTAAATCATGAATGAGGTTTGGCCAAACATCCCAATAGAGGACCCGCGGGGCTTGGGGTCATTGTTGGCGCCGGTTCTGGTCGCGGTGATCCCAGGAAAGGGAGAATCTTGGGGGAGATGGAGGGGGGGTGTAGGGGGGGGTGTAGGGGGGGGGGTGTATGGGGGTGTAGGGGGGTGTAGGGGGGGTGTAGAGTGGGTGTGGGGGTGGTGTAGGGGCGGTGTAGGGGGGGTGTAGGGGGGGGGGTGTAGGGGGGGTGTAGGGGGGGTGTAGGGGGGGTGTAGGGGGGGGTGTAGGGGGGGTGTAGGGGGGGGTGTAGGGGGGGTGTAGGGGGGGGTGTAGGGGGGGTGTAGGGGGGTGTAGGGGGGTGTAGGGGGGTGTAGGGGGGGGTGTAGGGGGGGGTGTAGGGGGGGGTGTAGGGGGGGGGTAGGGGGGGGGTAGGGGGGGGTGTAGGGGGGGGTAGGGGTGGGGTAGGGGGGGCGTCCAAATGGCACCTAACGCGGCCACTACCCATCCCTAATATCGTATACCGGACAATACAGAGAGACGGTCACTGATATAGGGTTTCGTTATGGATCTTTAAATTGTTTGAAGATTACATTCTCAACACACTTTTTTCTGGCATAAGGTATTCCAACGGTTGTAAGGTAATTTTGGGGTCCTGATTTCAAATCTGCCATCAGATTTGTCTATCACATCAGGTTTTTGAGATATCAAATATTGCATTTTCAATCAAAACTGCAGAAGAAAAATATTAAATAAATGTGGATATCTACATAAAATGATATTATAAACGCACTATCCTAAAAATACAGCACTGTATTTTAACCCTGAAGCAGTCACCGACTCGCAACAACTTGCAATCATAAGTGACAGAGTTAATTTCGGGTAAAATCAATGAAAATGGGGTATGCCGATAGCATCAAAATGAGATGTGATAGAGCAAATCTGAGATCAAATTTGGAATCAGCACCCTGAAATTAGTCTAAAACAGCTGCAAAAGTCCAGGCCAGAAAAAAATGCTTTTTTGTTGTTGACCAGTGTTATTCGTTTTTATGAAGCCTCATTTTACACATGCTGTGTCATCACTATTATTCGGAGACCATCATGTGAGTCAAGGGTGGCTCGGGGCAGAGATCGAGACGACACTTTTGTGAGGTCGGTCAGAGTTGGTGACGCGCATTCAGGGTGACCTAGTCACGGCTTCATCTTCTTGGTTCTTTCGGTAAAGTCACGTAGAAGGGAAATAATAAAATAATAAAAATAAAACATAATAAAATATTATCACGACGTTTCGGCCGCAACGCAAGCAGCCGTCGGGAAGACAGCGTCTGAAGACGCTGTCTTCCCGACAGACCTGTTCTTCACCTGAGGACGGCTGCTTGCGTTGTGGCCGAAACGTCGTGAGAATTGTATTTTATTATGTTTCATTTTTATTATTTTATTATTTCCCTTCTACGTGACTTTACCGAAAGAACCAAGAAGATTAATAACTAGAGTAGTAAAAACTACAAATAGATACGGTGCGATCCGGCGAATAGTGACTTGTGCAATTCAACATTCGCCAGAGCACTGGTCTAAAGGCTGCATCAGTTCCTGCGATCGTCAGACACGTGATTATGTTAAAACAAGAGCGTGGCACTACGCACATCACCGCACGCAGAGTCTTCGAGATTGGAGTGGTTACGTACGGTACAGTAAATACGGTAACTTTTTACGGTATTTTTGTCTCTTTGCACGTTTATTTATGACAATTTCACATGGTAAACAAATTTAATACACAAAAAAACACGCACACGACACCTAAAAACATGTCATCCAAGAATGTGCAAAAATAAGCAATTTTAAATAATGATAATTTAGTGATTATCCGACGTTTTTTAAAATCCGGTGCCCCCGTCCCACCCGAAGCCGCCGAATAATCGATGATCTACTGTATGTATGTAGAACTTCTTTTACACCGTACGTAGCCGACCATGGCTAATTGGAGGTGCAGGAAACACAATAGGTCAGAAGAGAGCGCACACCGATTTCATCGTCTTGAAATTCTCAAATTTTTCTCGGCAAAACCCTTTACGTCAACAACGATTCAACCTTGAAAGGCCATCGCTTCTGAGAGCGTAACGGTCCTCCATCACGGCCCTCTCAACATCAGCATTCCCTGCACCTAGTTGAGGGGGAGTAATCAAGTGGTATAAATAGAGAGGATTGGTGGCTGGAGATGAGGAGACCGAGATGTGATAATATGGGAATTGGTGAGGTGGTAGGGATGAGGAGAGGGAATGGGAGAGGGGGCTGTGATGATAATAGGGGGCGTCAGAGGAGTGACAGGAGAGAGCTGTGGATGAGGGAGGGAGCTGTGGATGAAGGAGGGAGCTGTGGATGAAGGAGAGAGATGTGGATAGAGAAGAGAGCTGTGAATAGAGAGAAGAGAGCTGTGGATGAAGGAGAGAGCTGTGGATAGAGAGGAAAGAGCTGTGGATGAAGGAGAGAGCTGTGGATGGAGGAGGGAGCTATGGATAGAGGAGGGAGCTGTGGATGAAGGAGGGAGC